CGTCCTTTCCCCACTTCCTGCCGGCGGAGGGGTGCTCGGAGCCCTTGGTCGGCTTAGGGGAGGGAGCGGAGATTTTTTGGGCTGTTTTCATCGCCTCGGAACGTCGCGCCGGCTCCCGGCCTGCCCTCTCTCACACCCATCTCGTTCTCCACGTTCTAGGTGACGCTTGGACTCTGGCTTTCCCCGGCAAGCCGGCCCGCCTGGTGTCCAACTGCGGATCCCCGGATCCTTTAAGCGGCTCGCGCTCGCGTATTCGCAGGTAGAAGGACTTTTTGTGGGGCCCGTGAGCGCGCATCTCTTGCTTGGCGTTTGCTGGGGGAAGGGGGACGGTGCAGTCGTCTGTCCTCATCCTGTTTTGAGGCTTTGGGCGAGTTCTGTTTCCGGGGGTCCTGGGTCTTCTCGGAGCGGAGAACGCTTCAGCGTTCCACGAAGTGCTTTTGGTTTTGCAGAGGCAAAGAAGCAAGCGCTGCGCAGGCCTTGCTCCTTAGTGGAGCTCTGTCTAGTCCAGGAGAAGGACCAAAGTTTCCCAGTGCCAAGTGTGGTGGGGAGAATAAGAATAACAGTAAGAGAATCAACAGATTGATAAGACATGGGAGACACGGAATGATCAGGGTTCTCGAAATGGGGAGAGTCAGGCCCAGGTTAGGAAGGTTTGGGGTTAAGAAGGCTTAGGGCAGAGCGCTGGTGTATGGGAGACTTCTGCCTGAGGCTGCAAGGGGCACACAGATATGCAGGTGAGTGGGCTGAGTAACAGCTAAGATTCCAAGGCTTAAGTAGTCGGTGAGGACTGGGGAGGAGTGAGGGCAGCAATCTGAGTAGCACTCTGCCTCATGCGCATAGGAATTTGACTTTTGTAGGCAGCCTGAGACCAGCCTTGGGGCTGGAGGTGAGCACTGGAGCCTGGGTTGTGGGCACTGCTTTTGTAGAACTCAGTGAGGGACTGGACTCCACTTACACGCTGTTCTGTGGGTATTGCTGCCACAAGCCCTAGTGTTTTCTTGCATAAGGTTGGAGGGGAGGGGCAATGACTAGTCTTTTAGGCAGAAGTGGGGGAATACACCTGAGGTGTCCCACAATGCTTTTGGTGGTGAAAGTAGATACTGGTGGCCCTGGCAACTTCAAGTATTGCGGGCCACTTGGGAGGTCCTAGGTAGAAAGACCAACATAGCTAAACCTCCACGGGATAACTGACCATAGGGGTTATTAAACACACAGAAACTAGGCATGAAGGTGTGTACAGGCCCTGGGCTGCTAGAGGCAAGCTGGTGGAGCACTAGGATATGTGTTCAGGGATGAAGCGCAAGGTGTTGCATGGAGGTCATGAGTGTGCTAGAGACTTTGGGGAGGGGCTTGGGGAAGAGAGCCCAGAGGAGGGCTCCCTTCTCTGGGAGGCAACTATGGCTGCTAATGGTTGGGCCTCCTTGATGACCACTGCTGGGGGCCTGGAGGGGGCAGGTGGGCAGGTTCAGAGCTTTGATGGGTAACTAGTCTGGTGGGAGTAAACCCGGCAAGTGTGTTTCCAGGATTTCACATTTGGGGGTTAGAGTGTCAGGCTGTTGGCTGGGGTAGGGGATGTAGGGAAGTGTGTTTGGGGTGGGTATGACCATTGCCTACAGGCACAAAGCACAAAGCGTGGGGGTAAGGCAGGAGGGAGCAGATAATAGCAGTACCCGATTTCTATAGGATATGACTGGTCCCGGGACATGCAGGAACCTATGACATGCTCTGTGTACTTAGGGGCTTACAGTGCTTGGGTGGCCTGGAGCCTATTCAGCAGACTGTGAAGCATAGTCTGTAATCTGCGTGATGTTGTGGTTAAGCTTCTGGTCTCTATAGTCAGATTTTGCTGCCTCCTCTGTCACTTAGTAATTGGTGTGTGGTCACTTCACTGCCTCAGCAACAGTAATAGTGCCAGCCTCGTGTGGGGAGAGGATGGTAATGTTTGATATGAGTAGAACACTTAGTTAAAGGTTGCCACTATCATTGTCCTGAAATTCCCAGGCCATTCTGATCTGACCGTTTTTCTTCTCCTGGGATTGATAGCATCTATTATTACAGTCACCTTGAAAGTCACAGGTGGCATGTACCTGCCTTCTTAGACCTCCCAGGCCAGCCTCCTGGACCCACCTTTATCCTCAGAGCTCCTGGTCAGGTGTAGGGTTTACCTGCTTCCTGCGTCTTCCTGCCAGCCTAGTGGCAGTGGTTGGACCTAGTTCCTGCTCTTCTCCACCTTGTTTTTGGACAGATTGCCTCGGGTGGTGGCCTGCGTCTGACAGTCCTTTCGGCTCTCCTCGGCTCTCCTGAGGCTGCAGCTGTCAGTTCCCTGGTCCTCAGCACTTGCCTGGAACAGCCGGGTCTCCCATGTCCTGTTCAGTCAGTCCCTGTCCTGTTTGGTTGTGTGTGCTGCCTCTCTGCACCATCCTTGTACAGGCTGTTTCTCCCTTCTCCTCTCTCCTCCCAGCAAGCAGCTTGTGCAGTGGTGGGGCCCTCCCTCTGGACAGCCACCAATTATGCCAACACACCCCTTTGGCAGAAGATGGATTGGGCCTTTCCTAGGGTGGTGTGTACCCTCCTTATAGATCCCTGGATTGAGCAGCCCTCCGGTGGGGACCCTGTGTATGTGTGCACAGCCATGGAGCAGAAGAGCACAGCTAACTCACAGAAAGATGCCCCTCCCAAACTGCACACGTCTGACCCTTCAGGATGACTTCCACCGTGTGCCCAGCTAAGACAGGCATCTTTGATGTCTCCCCACACCTGCTAGATTACCTTTTGGCCCATTTGGGAGATTTCATGTCTTTTTACTTCAAGAACTCCCAGGACAACCTGAGCTGTGTCTGTGATAACCTTGGGCACCTAATGGCTGAGTCTGGGCCTGGGCAGCCCCCTACTTTGATGGGGAACTGCTCCTGCCTGATGATTACAAGATCTTCCAGGATATTTAGGCTTTTCAAGACCCAAATGGTTTAGCTGAGTACCATGCCACAGTGCCCTGTCCCTTACCTCTAGGCTCAGGCCAGCTGTCAGTGGCCCCACAGCCACCTTTAGTGAGGCAGTTCTTGGAGGTCCTAGCACTGAATTTGGGCACTACTTTTAGGCCTAACCCAGCTGATCTGGCCACCCCTGCTGTGCCCAGGCCCAGTTCTGCATCTGGAAATGCTCTACCCAAGTAGCATCTGCCCAAGAAGAACATCCCTGTATCCCAGGAGTGCTCTGCCCTATCGTGTTCTGCATATAGGTCTGATCCTGGTCCCTGCTGGAGAGGGTGACCCCCAAAACTATCCGTGCACCTTCACAGTCTACTGAACCCCTGCCTAGATGTCAGAAAACAGGAGGTTTCTGGACAGAAGGGAGAGCAGGAGGTATCCGTGGGTGCACTGCAGGGGTGTTAGGTGTCCCAACGGTCCTAGGAGAGCCACCCTTTTGTCCAGTTCCCTGCCCTACATGCCTGAGTTCTGAGCATGGCCCAGGCAGGTGCAGCAGGGTCCCTTGTGATGAAATGGCCCATGTGGCTGTGGAACTCGTTGGTCCCAGTCAGGTCAGAGTGGTGCCCTCAGGTGACTCCAGATGACCCTGTCTCTGAATGAGGAGGTGAACCTGTTTTGGACTCCCTTCTATAGCGTTGGCAAGATGCAGCCCTTTGCCCTGTGCCCTCACCCTCCAGTCCTGCTGGGTTCCCAGCTGCGTTCTCACCCATCGCCTGGGGGTGCTGTCTTGCCAGGCCTGTTCCCACTACTTGGGTAGTTTTGCAGATCAGCTCCATACCAACCTCATCACCTCGTGTCCCCACCTCCCTACCCACCCAGACACCACCACTGGCATTTCTCAGTGTCATTTGGGACTGGACTGGTTCTGCCATGCTTGTCCTGTTTGGACGTGTTTCTGTACCGTATCTGTACTTCTGTTTCCCACCCCAACATCCTGTTCCTTTAACCTGTGACCTCCAAGCTGGAATGTATGGAAGGCTACATGGAGAAAACCACTTTTTTAATACCACTTTTAGTGTTACCCATATTTATGAGGTACATTGTGATAATTCATTACGTACAGGCTGTCCAATGTGATGTCAAGTCAGAGATTGGCACTTCTGTGTCCTTAAACATTTATCATTTGTGCTAGAAATCTTTAAACTCCCTTCTTGTTCTTTACGAAAAAGAATACAGTACTGTACATTGTGAACTACAGTCAGTGCTCTGCCATAGAGCCCTGGAATTTATCCCTTTCATCCACCGGTATTTTGCTACGCGTTGTCTAACCGCTGCGTGTTCTGTCTCATCCCTCCCTAGCTTCTAGTGACCGCTGTGAATTACTATTCTCTGTACTTATATAAGACCAGCTCTTTCAGCTTCTATATGTGAGTGACAACATGTGGTATCTGCCTTTTTGTTTTTTTTGGTACCAGGGGTTGAACTCGGGTCCTTGCATTTGCGAGGCAGGCGGTGGAACCACTGAGCTAAATCCCCGGCCCGTGTCTTTATATTTCACTTCATGTATTGCTCTCCACTTCCATCCATTTACCGTCTTTTTTTCTTGTCTTTTTTAAATTGTTTTTATTTGTTTGAGACAGGGTCTTTCTGTGTAGCACAGGCTGGCCTTGAACTCTTAGCAGTCCTCCCACCTCAGCTTCCCGAGACCTGGAATTGCAGGCCTGTGCCACCATGCCCAGCCAGAGTTCATTTTTTTAATGGCTGAGTAATACTCCACCATGTGTATATGTCACCATGTCTTCATTCGTCACTGGACAGACACTGATGGATTCGACATCTAGTGAAAAGGGCAGAAGCAGCACTTTCATCCTTCTGAATCAGGATGGCATCTTGACTGAGCGTTACGCTTCTCTTTGGGTTTACCGAAGGTGCTAACTGGCTGGAGTTTTAGGTGCAGGAAGGAGGGATCCAAACCCTTTACCAGGCTCCACTGTAGGCATTCCTTTTTCTGTATAGTAACATTCTCACACCCGATTATACTCACAAATGAACACCAATTTTCACGTCTGAAGATACCCTACTTCCCCCGCCTTCCTGCTCTTGAGCAGTCCTCACCCGCCCCTGTATACTCTTGCTGATGACTCAGCCCCAGTGATGTAAACGACTTACATCTGGCAGACATGAACCTCAGGGACAGAGCCTCTGTCCTAGCTCTCTGTCCTGGGTGCACAGTTGATGCTGGTTAAACGGGTGTTGGATCAGCTGCTGTGTGAGCACAGTTGTGTGTCCCAGTAGGGGTTTTGGAATCTTAGGGCTGGTGGGAATATTTGAGGGGGTTAGGATGGGCAACTGAGCAAGTGGACGACACCCTTGAGAACAACTTCTGAGAGCTGAAGAGGACAGGAGTGGGTGACTTGAGACACACAGACACACAGACACACAGACACACACACACAGCACTGGAATGAAGAAATACCAGTTCTGCACTAAGATGAGTTTTCCAGTGAGAGCTGAGTGTGGAAGTTTCCTCAAGCCAAGTTTACCTGAGGTTAGGGGTACAGCTGAGACCCGAGTGTAGTATGTGCCTACTTCAGGGGTACTTAGACAACAGTCTCAGCTCCTTTCAGTTTTGCAATTGTGAAAGCAAAAGACGTCTTCCTGGAAAATAGGACAAAAGTAGAAATATGTAGGAAATATAGCCAGTTATTTTAGGAAAAACAGCAATAAGCAAACATCTGGAAAGACTTCAGGAAAATACAAATTGTTGGGATTATTTTATTGAATATTTTTTGAAGGCTCTGAGTCCATATGGTTTTATGTGTGAGATATTTTAGCCATAGAGATCTTGTATATAAAACAGCTGGAAATCTTAGAAATAGGTGGGAAGCTATTTTTAGGAATCTGATTTAACCCAGAGAGCAAAGTAAACAAGCTGATAGAAGGAACTAATGTGCAGCCTTGATTCAGATGTGGAAATGCCTGGATATCTTGGCCTAGCCTGGGTGCTTCTGTTTAGGGTCACAGAGGGTTCTCGCACACTCGGCTATGGCCTGGGCTGCTTGTGGCTGTGTCTGTAGAACCTGGGAACTGCTGTCTGGGACATGGCCCAGTCACCCACCTGACCAGACCCCCCCATCTTCCTGGCCCCTACACAGCTGGCCTCTCTGTCCATTTAGTACTCCTGAAATGAATGCCTTCAGTTCAAGATGGCCATTTTCTCTGCTGACCCCTGTCCTTACGGGCAAAACCTGGAGACTTGGGTTAATGGTCTACCATGTATCTGAGGGCTGACCAGCATCCTCTAGGCAGGCAAGACAAGCACTTGGGAGAATCCATGTGTTCTGCTTTTAATTTAGAAAATGAGTCCTGCTGGAATTGAAGCAGCGTTGTCCAAGTTGCCAGTTAAGGGGTAGCCATGCAGGTGGCATGAAGGAGGGGACAGGGAACTCTGATCTGGCCTTTTAGGCAGGCAGTGTACACCGTCTGGTGGGGTGGCTTTCTTACCAGTATCTGCCTTTGGGCAGAGGCAGTTACTGAGCTGCTTTGCTGCTCCTTGGAAAAGAAAGCTCATCAAGGACCTGAAAAGGAGGCTCTGCACTGTGCATAGCGATGTCAGGAGGCTGTGAGCCATTCATTCTTACTCACAGGAGATGACCCAGATGAGGTTGCACCAGGGGCCGCAGAGCGTGGGACAGTTGGCTGGTTGTCAGAGGTACCAGGCCTGCCTTCCCGATTAGTGTATGTCCCTTCCCTTGGAGATTCCCTGAGAATTTCTTCCGCGAGGATAAACATAGTGGTTACTGGTGGAGGGTCTTTCAGGACCTGTCTTCAAGGGAAATCATAAAACGGCAAGTTCGGAGGATAAAGTCCTGTGTGATGTTGGAATATTTTATAAAGCCACAGTATTTAAAGTGCTTGGTTATTAGTACGGAGAGATAACAATAGTGAACTTTGAAGTAGAGCCATATAAATATGGCAATTTAGTATACTGAAGTCATTTCAACTTAGTGAGGGTTATTCAGTGAAAGCATTTGGGACAACAGGTTGTCTATCTGGAAAACAGTAAAACTGGGTATCTCCCTCCGTATTGGTGCCAGCATATATCCAGGTAGATTAAATATGTCAACATTTTAAAAAGTAAAACTACTACAGAAAAATGGAATATATATATATATTTTTTTTTTTAATTCTTTTATTTTTTTGCTCATGGCTCCAGGATTTTAGAAGTTTAGATACCCAGAATCGCAAGTGCACACATGCTTTGACCATTTGCTCAGATGCACAGAGGCTGATACGAATTGTTGTGTTATGGCACCATCTTGGTATGCAGAGGGAACTTGAATTTAGCTACACCTGACTACCTCACCTGATCTCTTTTGAGTGTTAAAATGGTTTGTCCTCCTGGGTGGGAGGAGAGTCGATTGAGAATGATGTTCATACAGTACCTAGCCTGAGCATCAGTGCATTATGAACAGCAAAACTGGAACAACTCCAAAGTAAAGCTGTTACTGCTCTCGTGTCCATCAGCGTGACCCAGATTGTGCTGTGGTAACAAGAGCCTCCGGTGTCTCAGGAGCCCGAGTGGGCATGCTGCTCATTTCCTGTTCACTACACATCCAGCAGGGAGGGCCTGGGATACATTCTGCCCTCTGAGGTCCTTTGGGGACTCATGCTGAAAGGAGCTCTGTCTGGACATAATTCTCCACCATCACAGGTATGAGGAAAGCCCACAGTGAGCCAGAGGGGATATGTGTCATCCACCTTGTGCCACCGTGGCCGAAGTAAGCCAGAGACCCATGCCCAGATTCCTCAGGTCTTCTTATAAGGACAGTCACTCAGTTTTGAGGTGTTTGAGCAACCAGCTGCTCAGTGTGCAGTTGAACATTGCCATCTGGAAGGAGAAATGGGCCTACAGGAAGAGACTGTTAGTCTCTTGCAGACTGCCATGAAAAAACACAGACTGCGAGGTTAAGGCATTTATTTTTATCAGTTCTGGAGCCTACAAGTCCAAGATAAAAGATGTGTGCAGGGTTGGCTTTTCCTTAGGCCTCCCTACGTGGCCTGCAGATGTCTGTCTTGTTCCTGAGTCTTCACATAATCATTCTGTGTAACTCTGTCCTAATCTCTTCTTATAGGACACTAGGCACGTGGGATCAGAGCCCACCCTGATAATATCATTTTACCGTCTTTATCCTTCATTAAAGATCCATCTTCAAATATAGTCACATCTGACATACTAGGAGTTC